ATAACTTCCTAACAGGTATAACTTTGTAACAGATATACCCTGTTTCCCCAAAATAAGACCTCCCTGGATAATAAGCCCAATCAGGTTTTTGAATGCATGCGCTAAAATAATTCCTCCCAAAAAATATTTAAATGCATGCGCAGCCAGTCCCCACCATTTCCTCCGGTTGCTTGCCGCGCAAACAATACGAGGTGAGGAGGCGAGGCCAGAGGGGAGGAAAGGTAGGGGGAACATGTCCTATGCACCCTACATCCTTACCTAACGGCCGCTCATGCACCCTAGCAACCGCGCCAAGCACTTATTTCGGGGATCAAAAGAAAATAAGACCATGTCTTATTTTTGGGGAAACATGGTATCCATTAATAGATTTTTGTCATGTCCAGAAGTTGGATTGGCTAATATAGTTATTTTAGACATGGACTTCATATATTGATTAAGCCATTAATTTTATAATCCTTCATCTTAGACTTTACTTGAGCCATCTCTCAGCCAAAACAAGTTTCACAACAATATAAAAAAATGTGACTTAGTATTATCCTGCTTATAGAATTGTATGGAGAAAAGGATAGAGTAAATGGCAGTCTTTTTTGTGTTAACTTGTATCATCCTTACAACACCCTATTTATGAAGGAGGGAGAGTCATTCATTAATCACTGTGTGAAAGGGAAAGTACTATTAATACTTAAAGTAGCATGATAACCATATTTTAAACTTTTGGAATGCATTAAATTACAATTCAGACAATCACCTATTAATTCCAAAAGGCTGACCAAGTAAATGACAGAATAGTCTTGCTGAAATGTTTACAAACACGAATAAAACAGGTATATGAACTAATGCAATGTGCTCCATCACATCTTTTTATTAAAAACAAACATTGACTTGTAAATTCTGACTGCCATCTTCTTGCATTCTATCAGTATAATTGCTTCAACTCTTCCTTTTTCAGTACATATCTTTGCCATTGAAAGTTTTCAGTCTCAGCTCTAAATGTATCAGACAATTTCTGATAGTTAAGAACTATTTTTTTGGTTCTAAGTGCAAGCCGTTAAAAAAAGTTTCCAAAATGAATCTCTCAGGACATATCACGAGAACAAGCAAGCATTGAAGGTGGCTATTTGATTACTTTTGCTTTATTAAGTATGAACAAACTGGTCTAATGCTGAGGAACAAATTCCCAGAATCGATCTGTAAGCAATGTCAGAGAGAAGGAAAATATGGGGCCTTTATAGCACCCTGCTGTTTTAAAGATAGATGAAATATTTAGTGGCACCATCAGGACACAATGAAATATGAGATTCTGCATCCCAAGTTATTTTTGACCTGTTCAGAGACAAACTTAAAAGCTGCTTTGCCAAATTAAAACTTTTAGAGAAGGGCACATCTGGGAAATTCAGAACACTGGAGGAGCATGATCGTCCTCTTGTCTCTTATTGCATTGCGAGTTGCAGCCATGCCCACGGCAACATAGATGATGCCAGAAGGAATGGCATTACTTGTATTATACATCTAGCATGATGAAATGCGTTTTTCCTACAGTTCCTACCCATTCCTACAAGGATGTTTTTTTAGGTCATATTCCCCCACCGCCCCATCCTTTTTATTTGCTAACTTTGGAAGCTCTTTAACTTTCCTCAAGGACATCTTCATTTCTGAACCTGCCTTCAATTTCTCTGATGATCCCATCTGCTTTTTCATGCGCTTGGAAAAAACTTCTGCTGATTACTGCTTCCAAAGGATATTTCTTATTCAGTGGTTGAGTTCACTATTTCAATAAGCCAGATTGTAGCCTATTTGATTTTGGCATAGAACTCTCAGCTAATTCTAGTTTACTCAATACAACATAGGGAAGCAAACAGTGCCTTAGTTTAATGTGTGAATCAAGGTAATATATTTATAAGATGTAATCATCCTAAATCAGTTACTCATAGTTAGTCTTTTGGAGGAGGTCACCATGCCAGCCCTAGTATTTTAGGAGTAGAAAAAAAATCAACATTATTCAAAGCAGCAAAATGAAATATCTTTTAATGAATAATTCTGATATATTCACTGATCTTAACCTACACGTCTGAGTGTACACTGCATATGTTTGGAATCACACGCTACATAATTGTTGCCTTCAAATAACAAAGAATAAATATCAGTACATTAAGTCAAATATTAAAGCAGTATAAAACAAGGGAAAACATTTTATACTTGTACCCATACATTTTGTACTTGTTAGCATGGTGATAATTTATAAGAGCTCTATAAAAAGCCCTGTGTTGAAGGCATTGGACTAGAAGTAGGAATGCTTAGGTTCAAGTGCATCCTCAGTTATGGAAGCTCATTCACTGACTTTGAGCTAATTACTCTGTTTCAGTCCAACCAAGCTATTATGCAGGGAATGTATAGAAGAAGGAATGGTATACAACTTGTCTTGAACTGAAGGAAGGGCAGAATATAAATGTAACAAATATAAGTAATACAAGTACTAAAATATATTCATCACGATTAGTATATGAATGATAGGGTAGGGCTCTTTTGGTATCCATATATAAGTAATACAAGTACTAAAATATATTCATCACGATTAGTATATGAATGATAGGGTAGGGCTCTTTTGGTATCCATATTCATCCATATTTGTATAGATTTTAGATAGCCAAGGAAAAGAAGGAAGCAGGAAAAAGGAAGTAATCCAGACCTAAGAAGGTGAATTGGAATTGTCAGAACTAGC